CACTGTCTCAAAAAACAAAAACAAACAAACAAAATCATACCTCTAGCTGGGCAGTGGTGGCACACGCCTTTAATCCGAGCAGTCGGGAGGCAGAGGCGGGATCTCTGTGAGCTCAAGGCTAGCCTGGTCTACAAGAGCTAGTTCCAGGACAACCAGGACTGTTACACAGAGAAAACCTGTCTTGAAAAAACAGTCATACCTCTAGTCGGGCAGTGGTGGCATATACCTTTAAATCCCAGCACTTGGGAGGCAGAGGCAGGCTCTGTGAGTTCAAGGCCAGCCTGGTCTACAAAGTGAGTTCCAGGACAATCAGGGCTACAAAGAGAAACCCTGTCACACAAAGCCAAAAGGAAAAAAAAAATCATGCCTTTGCTATCCTCTGAGGACTAGATCAGATAACAAGAGTAAATGACCTCCCAGGATTGTGTCAGGGTGGGGCCAAAGGGGTGGTCTGGCCCCTAGGCCAAGGGAAGTACAAGGGGCCTGCTTGGCCTTTTATCTCTTTTCAGTTACCTCAGAGGCCACGTCCACCTCTGGACCCTATCCACTGAGGCTCCACTGAGGCCCCGCATAGGTCACGGGGCTAGCTATCAGTCTGTAGTCTCTCTCGGCTTGGCAATTCCAACCTTGCACTTTGTGCTGGTGAGTGTCTCCCACCCCCATTTTGCTGCCTTGGGTGTCCAGATCTTACTCACCTGATGCAGTTCTTTGGGTCCTGGTCACAATCGATGTTACAGCGGAAACGTTCCCAGGCCAGCCAGCCCATGGGTGGTGTTCGCAGGAGCCCGTTCTCCAGCATCAGTACCTGGGTCACCAGGGCCAGTAAGAGCACTGAGGGAAAGGTGGACGGTGTATGTAAGTATGTAAGTGGCTCCCACAGCCTCTCACCCTCGTCATCACCTCAGCCCCCCATGTCCCTCTTAGTCATTAATTTCCTCTATGTAGCCCAGTGGGAACTGAGACTACCCAGTTCAGTTTAGAGTTGACTCAGTCTGTACCTGCGGTTGTGGAGAAGGTGCACGGGGCACGGTAATATGTTAAAAAAAAAAAATAGCTGGGCAACCCACTCACTGTTGGCACAGCCTGGGAATCAACAGAACTGATCCCCTGAAGTCATGTCCTTGATATATGTGAGATGAGATCCCTCTCTCCCTCTCTACACAGAAGTGGCAGTACACTGTGGACAGACTCTAGGTTGCTGAGGCCTTGGGGCTCTTTGCTCTCCACCTCAGAGAGACGCAGAAGGGCCTAAAGAGGTTGGTCAGGATGAACTCATACCCAGCTGCTCACCTGCATGAGCCCTTTCCTCTTGGATTTCAATTTCCTTACATGGAAGTGACTGTGCCCACTTTACCGGGTTGCTATGGCAGGCCCGGTAAGATAGGTAGGGCCTCTACACCGGAGCAGGACTGAGAAAGGAAGTGTCCCTCTTTGGAGGGGAAATGATTCCTGGTTGGGGAGCATCTCCTTGCTTTTCCTGGCCCAGCTCTAAGAAGAGGAGAGGAAGTGTTCTCCCCACATACTCACATCAAGAAAGAGAAATAAGTAGCAGGCAGAGTCCTGGTTCCCCCTCCACAGTCCCTCCCGGAAAGCCACCCCAGTAGGTTGTGGGTACCTGTCTTTTGCAGCATTGCCTTGGAGTCAGTTATCAGGACCCAACTGAATCTTCTCTGCTCCAATCAGCTTTATACGTTGAACTGTGGAAGATAACATGTTAAATATCTCAGTGGCCATAGCGTTGCATGCCTTTATTTAATCCCAGCACTGGGAGGTAGAGGCAGGAGGATCTCTGTGAGTTCCAGAAACTACACAGCGAGTTTCAGGCCAGGCAGAGTTACACAGGGAGACCCTGATTCAAAAAGGAGATGTGATTGCCGGGTGTTGAGGCGCACACCCCTTAATCCCAGCACTCTGCGAGTTTGAGGATAACCTTGTCTACATGTGAGTTCTAGGACAGTTGTGGTACCAAGTCGCTTTCACTACCGACGCTCCTTCCCCTGCCAGCACTACCCTGAGTCTGAGCTCTTCCTTTAGAACTACACGGAGTCTAGGACATCGTCCTTTTGCCAGACCAGTGCTCAAAAGAGGCAGAACCTGGTTCCAGGAAGCCCAGGAAGAAGAGAGACGTTGGGCCCTACCAGGCTCCGGATCCCCGTGAGTCCGGGTTCTCGGCCTCGGTCCTCAAAGATCCCAGGTCCAGAGTACTCCTTGGTCTCCTTGGTCTCCTTGGTCCTCCTAGGTCCACCTTTTCGGTCGCTCAGTCCGCTGTGTGCTTGGCCTCAGGAGCCCCCAGCTGCTGCCTCCACGTACCTATAGCGACCCAGGAGGCGGGGCATCGCGGGGCAACCCTTCCGGAGCAACCAATCAGAATCCCCTAGCAACGCCGTGCCCTCCCTCTATGCCTCAGCGCCCAGCCTCCATAAGCACCGCCCATTTAAGCTAGCGTTCTGCGCGCTCCTGAGGCGCGCCCTCGTGGAATCGGCACCAGGACCCTGTGCGCGTTCGGGCACGCAGCGAGTCTACCTGGTCTCCTTCGTGCACCGCCCCAGGGGCGCGGGCGATGGTTCGCACTGCTCGCGCTCAGTAAGTGGAGGTGCAGTGAATTTCTACTGATAGCCAAAGGAAACAACCCAGAAACCTGGTCCTTAACCGCTAAAAAACAGTAGTGAAGAGGATGGATAGAAATTCAGCCCTTGAAAGGTTAGGAGGCTGTTCCCTCCATCTGACACCCAAGGGGTTGTTCGCCCATCCACTTCTCAAATTCATTCATTCATTCATTCATTCATTCAATTATTTATTGAACATATGCTGGTGCCAAATGCTATTTCTGAATGCCTTGGCCCTGATGGTAGTCATAACCGGCCCCTAACGGAATAGTATCGTCTTCCACATCCCAGGTAGTGGCAAACGTACTTCTCTGTGCCACGATCCAATGCTCAGTACGCTCTTCCTTCTTTTTTCCTCAGCCTTCATACGTAATTCACTAATCCTGTGCTCCTCACCCCTCATCACACTGCTCATCACATTGTCTGCCTGGTTTACAGAAGTCCCTCAATGACTTTCTGCGTCCATCTAAGGGGACTTTCTCCACAGCAGACAAGGCAAACCTTGAAAACCCAGCTCCCCGGGCTGGAGAGATGACTCAGTGCTTAACTCGTTGCTCTTGCAGAGGACAGGGGTTCCGTGTCTAGATTCACGTGGTGACTCAACAACTATCCCTATCCCAGTTCTAGGGGATCTGACACCGTCTTCTGAACTCCCAGGCATGCACATGGTGCACACATACATACATGCAGGCAAAACTCTCAGACACATAAAATAACCTAAATAGAACTCAAACCAGCCCTGTTCACTCCTCTCTCAGTTTGGAGAAATGGCTTTCCTAAGTCCCACCCTCTACCTTCTGATCCTGTTTCCTACATTTATCTTCCTCATTGCCCTCCTCGTGGCTCTTCAAACAGTAGCTCAGGGGCCTTTGGAACTAGCAGTGCTCTCTGCCTACAATGCTGATGCCCTCATTTCCCTTAATTATTTGTCAAAGTGAGGTCTACTCCGACCATTTAAACCTCAAGCTCTCCACTGTGAGAAGTCCACGCTCCATTTCCCCGGATGATTTTCACCTTGTAACATATTTACTCCGGGTGATACTTAAAATTGAAGAAAAGTTGGTAAACAACAATACCAAACACCCACAGCACCTCACAAAAACCATCCAGCACAGCTCAAAGCAGGGTGTAGGTACTCTTCTCTTTCTCTACATTGTGAGGTCAGGGAGGGGACTCAGAGCTGACCTAAATGTCAAGGAGTTCTGAGGCTAGTGACGGGGGCTGGGTGAGAAGGAAGGGCTCTCTGGGCTTCAGGAACTGCAGAGAAGAGGTTGAGGTGGAAACCCACAAGCTCCTGGGCAGGCGTTTGAACGCATTTGCCCTCGGCTTCTAGGAGTCCTGCCTGCCTTAGTGCTATCCCGCAGTCTTCCCTTAAGCGTTTGGATAGGCAAGCTCCAGGTAGAGCTTTGGGACCTACAGGTGAACTGCAGACCCTCACTGGCGGGTGAGAGAAGCCGTAATGGCTAATTTCTAGAGGCAGAGATGGGGCTGACCCAAGGACTTGGTTGCAGGCTCTGTAGGAGCTCGCTTTTTGAAGCGCCCTATCTGATGAACTGCCGGGCTTGGCTCTGCCAGCGTGGGGTGGGACTGGCTGGGCGGTAAGAGGGGACTTTTGGGGGAAAAAAAACAGTCGAGTTCTCCTTCGGTGGTGGGCTGGAGGCCTGTGGGTAGCCTGACGTTGGGCTTGGGGTTCGAGGTCATCCATCACCGACAAGTCCTGCGGTTCAGGCGGGTCCTCACTGCCCAGGTCCTCAGTTTCCCTCTGGTGTGCGTGCCGAGGCGACTTTGCAGATCCCGAGGCCTGGTGGGTACTGGGCGGGGAGAGACCGGGGCGGTAACACGAGCCTCCCGGGCGGGGTCTCCTGGCTCCCGCGGCCACGTCTGCGGCCCGGGCGGAGGCGCGGGGTCCGGAGCAGAGAGCTGTCGCAAAGCACCCGACGACCCAGGCTCAGGCTCTGGAGGTGAGTGCGGGTCGGGCGGGCTCCGGGAGGAGGTGACCTGGAGGGCGTGGCTGAAGATCCCGGGCGGGATCCAGGGATCCAGGCACCCATAGGGCCGCCCGGGGAGAGGCCTCATCTTCAGGCTCTCGTGGGCTCGGCCCCTCCGTGGGGCCCACGAAGGGCTGCGGCTAGAAGGGCCTTCCTCTATTCCGGGCCTGCTTGCTTCTCTTTTGAGCCCTTCTTCCCCTCCCACATCCTGGCTGCAATTTCATCACTCACTACTTGATTAATTCATTATTTAGTTGTATTTGCTTACTTACTACGTGTCTCTCCTACTGCAAAGTAGATTTCGGGAGGACAGGGGCATAGTTTTGTCCTCTGATAGTATTCCTACGAATTCAGCAAGTCTGCACAGGGCTAATTATTGGAGGTTACTGGACAATCAAGCTTATAGACATCCTGCAAATGGGGACAGTGAAAAGTGAAAACATTGACAGAGGGAGGCAAAATGGACAAAGCCAGAAAATGGAGGGTTGCTGGCCAGTTGACCTTAGAACAAGCCACTTTGGGTGCAGCAGCGAGCAGGAGAGATTTCTGTGGTACTGTTCCCACAAGTGCTAGAAGGGAAAGCCTTGGCAGGCACTTCATTGACCTACCTAGCCTCAGGGGGTCCATAATTACAGTCAAGAGACAGTGGGCTAAGACCCAGAGGGAAGTTCTGTTGCCCTGGGGGATGAGTGGGGCATTGAAACTAGGAGGCAGGGCTTCCTGCAAGAGGCTACCCTTTCACTGGGCCCTAAAGTTAGAGCAGCAATTGTCACATTTTTTGAGAACTGTTTTACAGGCTCTGTGGGAATCATGTGGCTGAGCTGTGTGGTTAGATAAGAGGCCACCCTGTCCCCTCTTTAGGCTCTTCTGATAAGTGTGTCACCAACAAGACCCCACCAAGGTGTGAGACCATATACGGCCTCTCCTTCATTATGACTCTTGCGGGTTGAGCTGCAATAGGAACCTTGGAGCGCCAGAATTTGGTGGGTGTCTTCAGTACCTCCCGTGCCACTGGAGTTTAACAGAGCAGGTCCCCTTTGACCCGTTGCTGGCTGCCCCTTCCCCTGACTCCATCTGGCTCTGAAATCACAGGTTCTTATTAAGGTGGGCTGGACACCACTGATAGAGGCTGGTCGGGGCCCAGGAAGGTCACTGGATCCTGAACATGGCAGCAGGCCTGTAGTCCCAGAACTGGGGAGATGGAAACAGTTGGATCAGCTCAAGAACATTCTTGGATGCATAGTGAGTTGGAGAGCAACCTGGGCTACACGAGACCCTGTCTTTAAAAAACAAGCAAACAGAAAACCACCATATCAATGTCCTTCCATTCTTGTTTTTCTGATATAATTGTCTTTTCTGTTACAGTTTTTGATATCCAGTTTTTGTGTGTGTGTGTGACCCTTCATGACCTTTGAAAAGAACAGCAAGGAAGACTAGTCAGTGTCCTTCACAGATGAAGTCTGAGAGCTGCAGGGACACAGTGGCAGCCACAGGACTGGGCTGGAGGTCTGAGCTCGGGTCCCTTCCTCCAGGTGCTACCATCTCCACCTCAGCGTTCTTGTGGGAGCCATGAAGCTGAACAAGAGGAGCATGACCCACTATGCTCTGAGTGATTCTCCAGCAGATCACACTGGCTTCCTTCGTACTTGGGGAGGACCAGGGACAGCACCCACTTCCAGTGGTGCTGGCCGAAGATATTGGTTTGTGCTCAAGGGCAACCTGCTATTCTCTTTTGAGAACAGAGAAAGCCGGGCCCCTCTGAGCCTGGTGGTATTGGAGGGCTGCACGGTGGAGCTGGCTGAGGCTCCTGTGCCCGAGGAATTTGCTTTCGCCATTCGCTTTGATGCCCCTGGAGTGCACCCGCACCTGCTGGCAGCAGATGGGCAGGTTGCCCAGGAGGCCTGGGTAAAGGCACTATCCCGAGCCAGCTTTGGCTACATGAGACTTGTAGTCAGAGAACTGGAGAGCCAGTTGCAGGATGCCCGTCAGAGCCTGGCCTTGCATCGCTGTGTGTCCCAGAAGTCTGTTGCCTGCTGCAATAAGCCTTGGACTCCTGACCGCTCAGCTCCAGGCCCTGAGAATGGCTACTTTCTCCCTAGGGACCGAAATTCCAATGGTTCTGTGGAAGAAAGGGGGAGCAGGCCAATGGGTCGGGATTTGACTGAGTGGGAGTTACAGGGCCCTGCCAGCCTCCTCCTAAGCAGGGGACAGAGCCCCGTGTCCCCTGAGACCTCTTGTTTCTCTACCTTGCATGACTGGTATGGGAAGGAGATCATGGAGCTAAGGCGAGGATGGCAGCAGAGGGCCAAGGGGAGCCAGCCGGAGAGCAAGCAACAGGATAGGCCCTGAGCCCCAGTCCTTTGCACTGCGACCCTGACCTGCTGGTCAGGATGCCAGGGTCAGTACTTCAGGAGTTAAATGTTTACTCATTTCCCAGATTTCTCTCTGTGTGTGTGTGTCCCCCTCCTGCTCTGTAGACTATCTCCAACTTTCAATCCTCCCCTCTGCCTGGAGTGAACTGAGGAATCATGATTTCCAACCTTTTTCCTGAGACCTAGAAAGTCCAGGTGACTGATGGGAACATAATGTAATGTAGGAAGGGGCTGTGCCCCCTGCAGGACACTTTAGCTGTAATTTTCAACATGAGAAGCCTTGGGCATCTGAATGCCAGCGGTGCCAGCAGAAGTGGCCTGAGGACTAATATCGACATGGTTTGTGCAGGGCTCTCTAGGAGAGGCTGTTCTGGTGCTAAAGGGGGATTTCTTTTCTCCCCCCGCCACCTTGTCAATGTCCACTGCTGGACATGGCCCTGGGACAGACAGGCAGCCTTGATCTAGGAGCAGCCCTTCCTGATCTGCTGTCCACGGACACTCCTAGGGACCCTGTCTCCAAGCCTTGTTTCCCAAGACTTGTCTGCCAAGAACCCTCGTGGCTACTTTCTCCTGTATCATGCCAAGTATTGTTTTCTTCTAAGAGGACAAATGGCTGGGTCTTCAGAGCCATAAGCCAGGCCCATCTGTCCCTTTATGTATGTGTGGTGACGGTAACTGTGGGAAAATGTGGGGCTTGATAGAGCTACACCTCTTTCCCAAACAAAACCTGCCTCTTCCTGACCGCCCTGCTTTCCCCGTCTGGGGACTTGGGGCAATCTGACTCAAATCACCCAGGCCCAAAGGCCAGTCTTTGACCTCCAGGAGACTTGAGTTTCATGGTTTCCTTGGCCAGGGTCAGATCCTGTGATGTCAGGCATGGTTCTCAGCCTGCACATAGCATCATAGCCATCTGCCCTTGATTGTACACACAAGTGCTATACCTTTGCTAACTTTCTTGTTAGTGTTCATTCTTTAGTTTGATTTTTGGAGACCAGGTCTCACTTTGTAGCCCATACAGGCGTGGAACTCATTCTTAGCTTTGCAAGCACTGGGATTATAGTTAGGAACCACCACATCCTATTTGGTTTTGTTTGTTTTGTAGCAGGTCTTGGTTCTTGGGAAGGCCTGCCCATCCAGCCCCTCATTCTAGCACATCTGGCTTTAGGTTTTTGTTTTGTTTTCTTATAATCAGAACAGTAAAGTTTGCAGGGTGTGGTCGCAAAGGAGGTAGAGGAGGGTCAGGAGTTCAAGGTCATCCAAGGTTTTTGACTAGACTGGGCTACACGCGAGAAATCTGTTCATTTTGGTTATTATAACCCGTGTTTACAAATGAAGTGTCAGGAGTTGGAGCTATGAAGCCGGTGTCCGAGCCTAGCGACTGAGTGAGTCCGGGAACCTGTCCCGCTGGTGCAACCTCCACCAGTACAGTTCTGCTCTTGCTTGTTCGCTCGCCCTATGGGAAGCCTGCTGCTCACAGACACTATGGGCTCATGTTAACTTTTTATTGTTAAAGTTTCTTTTTATAAATTCAAATACCAAGTAAAGTTTTTCATTACACATTTCCGTTCCTTAATTAATACAAGTTTTTCAGAGGCCGAGGTCACTAACACCTTTACAAACGGAGCTCCAAACGGACGGCCCCGCCCTCCGGAGTCCGGGAGGGGCGTCGTTGTATTTCTGACGTCACTACGTAGGGCGGGTGCCCGGGGCTTTCCCACGGCGACAGTAACGCGGGCACTGCGCAGGCGTAAGGGCTGTGCGGTCGTGTATTCGAGAGTCTCGCGAGGCTTGAGGCGGGTTTTCTGCGAGAAGGCCGCACTGGGTGTGCGGGGTGTGGATCCCTGCGAGGGGCGGAGCAGGAGATGGCGTCCTCGGCGGCTTGCCGGCTGGCCCGGATAGCAGTCCGACCAGGGGCTCTCTGGAGCGGGCCGAGCGGGAGGAGAGGTGGCGATGTCTCCGTCGTACTGGGTAGCTCAGGTCGCAGCCTGGTACCGTCGAGGTCAGTCATCGTCACTCGCAGCGGCGCCATCTTACCCAAGCCGGTGAAAGTGAGTGAGTGAAGAGGCGGGGCGAAGGGATCGAGGCCAGTCATTGGGGGAGTGCGTCTGGCCTGTGTTGATTGACAGGCTTGGAGGCCAATCGTAGTATTGGCACGGACTGGGCTTTGAACCAAGGACCCAATTTGCGCTGTTGGGTTGCTGACTTTGACAGGTGGAGGAAAAAATGCATAAAACCAGTGTTAAGCTGGATTCCTGAACACAAGCTGGAAGGCAAGCAGCGGAATGTGCACTGTCTTGTCTTGAGGGACGCAATGACCCATTCTCTAGAAGAGCTTTGTGTCGATTTATACAAATCATGCAATCTCTGTCTCAGAGGTGATGCGATAAAACAAGCCTGAAGAAATGAGAAGGGAATACGGAAGTAATATACTTAGCAGAAAAAATGAAATGAAGGAAAAAGGACGTGAAGAAGCAGGCCCTTCTATCCTGAGAAGTGTGCCGAGAATCTTGCAGAAAGGTTTTTACAGATGAATCAGGGCAGAGCCGGCGTCCGAAGCTGGTAGCAGAGTTAGGTCTTGACAACGAGGACCACGTCCTGTTTTTTTTTCCACCACTGAACTCTGTCACTTGCCCTCAGTGCTCTTAAAGAAAATGGAAAGTCTCTTACACCAAAGGTGTGCCTTGACTGCGGGACTGTGTAGAGGTGAAGGGTTAACGAAATCTTTTAGAGATAGCCTGACCCGTATGAACAGTTGACTGCAGTCGGGATTCACAACAAGAAGCAGGAAGGTTCAGCTGTTCTATAAAAAGGCACAGCTAGGGGAACCAGAAAGCAAACACTAGTGAAGTGTCACCTGCTTCCCTCCAGTCCGTGCTGTTTTTTCATGGTTTTAAAGTTTAATGTGCTGCAGTTTCTCAGGCAGCAGGCACCAGTTACTGAAGAGAGAACTGCATGGAAGAGCCTTTCACTGCACATCTTCTTAAATTCATTTTTTTTATGTGTATGGGTATTTTGCCTGCATGTATGTCTGTGCAGCACTTAATGCCAGATGCCCACAGAGGCCAGAAGTGGGTGTGATGTTTCACGGAACTGAAGTTACTTCCTTATGAGAATTGATATGGGTGCTGAGAACCAAACCCAGGTCCTCTGGAAGAGGAGCCAGTTCTTAAGTGCTGAGCCATCCTTCGAGCCCCTGAAACTCACTTTGATGTGTGTCGAGCTGACCACAGACTAACCATGCTAATCTCTCACCCAGTTGTTTGTGGTTTGTGCAAGGAATTAGCAGGTGGTGTCTAATTTTTAGTTGCTTATTTTCCTAAATTTAGTTTAGCTTTATGCTTTTCTTTCTGGCATCCATTTTGATGGCCACCAAACTCACTGTCTCTTTGTTGCTCTGAATTTTTCCAAAGACTTTAAAACTCAGTTGGTGTCCGGATCTGGGGTCACTGGAGGAAATGCCCCTGAGGACCAGGGCATGAGGTGCGGCCATTGGTCTCCAGGGCTCACAGCACTTCTCTCTCCGCAGATGTCCTTTGGTCTTCTCCGTGTGTTCTCCATTGTGATCCCCTTTCTCTATGTTGGGACACTCATTAGCAAGAACTTTGCTGCTCTACTTGAGGAGCATGACATTTTTGTTCCAGAGGATGATGACGATGACGATTAACAGGTAAGACTTGCCTTTTTCCTAATTGGACAGGAACAAGAAGTAGGGTGGAGCTTCTGGTCATGATGCAGTTTGGCCTGTAGCAGCATAGCTACGCTCAAGACAGAAGGCTCAATGAGTTCACCCACTTGAGACGTCTGTCTTTCTCTTACGTTGGATGGGGTAATTTGACTGAGAGAGTCACTGTTAATCTCTGTCAATAGGTTAAGATCCTAGCCTTTCAGTTGCCCTTGATGTACCTTCATTCAGTCAACTGACATTTTCTTGATGATTTAATATGCTTTACACTTTATACAAGTCATGTAGCCTCTGCCTCAGAAGTAGAGGGGTAAACCAGCGAATCCTGAGGAGGGTAAAGGGAAAGTAGAAGTAAGAGACAAGTAAAAAGGGAATATGGGGAAGGGGAGGGGCGCTCAGTCCTGAGAAGTGTCCAGGGAATTTTGAATGTTTTTTTTTTTAATTTTTCGAGACAGGGTTTCTCTGTAGCTTTTGGTGCCTGTCCTGGAACTAGCTCTTGTAGACCAGGCTGGCCTTGAACTCACAGAGATCCGCCTGCCTCTGCCTCCTGAGTGCTGGAATTAAAGGCGTGTGCTACCACCACCTGGCCCTTTTAAAATAATGTCTTTATTTTATGTGCATTGGTGTTTTGCCTGTGTATATGTCTGTGTGAGGGTGTCAGATCTCCTGGAAATATAGTTATAGACAACTGTGAGCTGCCATGTGGGTGCTGGGAATTGAACCTGGGTCCTCTGGAAGAGCTGCCCGTGTTCTTAACCACTGAGCCGTCTCTCCAGCCCCAGAATCTTGAATTTTTACAGATGAATCAGGACAGCTGTGAAATTGGTGTCTGAGGCTAATGGCAAAGTTAGGTCCTGGTATCTAGGATTCTTAACCAACCTAGTGAGGCCAACAGCTTCTGACTGAAATTTAGACACTGACAAAGGGGTGGGGATATACCTCAGCTGATAGCCTGGCAGAGGAACTGGGTTCTATTCCCAGTACCCACTTGGGCAGCTCACAATCACCTGTAACTCCAGCTCCACGGGATCCAACACCCACACATGCTAAATACACATATAAATATAAGCAGTTTTTAAAAGGCAACTAGCAAATCCTCACTGCTGTCAGGTTTTTGAGTTAGCTCACTATGTAGTTCTGGCTGTCCTAGCACTCACTATATAGAGCAGGATAGCTTCAAATTCAGAGATCGGCCTGCCTCTGCCTTCTGAATGCTAGGATTAAAGATGTGTACCCTGTTATTGCACCAGCCTAGCCAGTATCCTGCTTACAAACCCTTGTTGCAGGGCTCCCGGTGCTCTTCCCATTCAGCTTTCCTGTGTTGATTTCCTGTGCTATAATGTATGCTGCATGGCTATAGACTGTCACAGGCAAAGACACTCCTGCCTCTCTGCCTGCCTTTCTTATCGTGATCTGGTCATACCTCCTACGCCATTTTTATCTTCTGTATTCCCAGCTACAGGAAGAAGTAACCTTGAGAGGGCCATGTCTTCTGTGGTCATCCCAGGGTGGGCTCTCTGAGGAGTCATCATTTTATTCTTCTTCTAACATTTACTTATTTGCCTCTATGTGTATGAATACGGTACTCATGGAGGCCAGAGACTGTTAGATCTCTTGGAGCTGGAGTTACAGGTAGCTTAGAGCCATTTTTTATGGAACTGAACTCTGGTCTTCTGCCAGATCAGTATGGGCTCTGATCGGCTGAGTCACTTCTTAAGTTACCTGCATTCTTATCTGTCTCCAAGTATTAGCTAGTCTCCAAGTATTAGCCCACTGTTTTACCACTCTGTCATAACTCTACCCATTCTTCCTTGTCTTTGCTACATCTCCCTTTAACTCCTATTTGAAAGTGACTATTATTAAAGCCTGGTGTGGCATCACAAGCTTTTGTGATCCTAGTACCCAGGAAGTAGAGGCAGAGCTCAAGGATAGCCTGGGCAATAGGAGCCCTTATCTCAGAAAGCAGAAGAGAAATGCTTCGGGTATTTCTAGTGGCACACACCAGTAATCCCAGCACTGGAGAGGTAGAGGCAGGAACAAGTTCAAGATTATCCTTGGCTACAGCGAGTTTGAGACTACTCTGGGTTACATGAGACTGTGTGTGGTTTATTTATTTTAAGTGACTGATGCTTGCCTTTCTTACAGGACATGGAGAAGTGCAGAAAGGAGAAAGTACTAATAGACAAGTGGTCACACGCTCAGCTCCTTCCCTATTGGCAGAAGGGTCAGAGAAAGCCAGCCCTCAGCCTCACCTCCTCATGGTTTGTGACAACAGCCCAGAATCCTATGTTTTGGGGAGGTTCCCTCAAATGTGTTGTCCACAGAGCACTGGAAACTATGAGTGACATAATAAATACGAGCCATGTGTGACCGAAAGGCTGCTCCCATTTCTCACTCCCAGCAGGCTTTGTCGTCTCTTCTGTGTTCAAGAAGCATCTTATTAAAAGCCAGGACATCCAGGCTGTTACACAACCACAGACATCATTGAGGGGACCGAGAACTTTTTTCCTTTAGTTATTTTTAACTGCTTATCTGTTTATGGGTGCCCCTGGAGGCCAAAGGCATATGATCCTCCTGGAACTGGAGTTAAAAATGATTATGAGTTGTCTCAAGTGGGTGCTGGGAACCAACTCTGGTCTTCTGCAAAACCAGCAAGTGCTCTTAACCAATGAGCCATCTTTCCACCCCACTAACCCCCATCCTGAGACTTAAAATTTTTTTTTTACTTTATAAATCTTCCCTCAAAGCCACTTAAGCTAACTATAGCCTTAAGCCTAGAGGGGTTGCCACTTGCCAAACGGAGTTTTGATACTTCTTAATAGTTAGAATGTTTTGTAAAACTTGGGCTCGTGGGGGTGTGTGTGGGAGAATCCCTGGTGCTATGGGGTCATTCAGTAAGTACGTCTAAAGACTGAGTACCTTTTGCCAGCATTCAGGACTGTTCAGGGAAGGAGGCAGAAAAACATTGGTAGTTCAAGGTCATCTGTGGCTATAGAGTGAGTATGGGGCTATCCTTGGCTACGTGAGATCCTGTTTGAATAAAGTGCAGGACGAGTCTGTTCTTTGTTTGCATTGAACTGTTGTGCGCCTGCACAATGAATAGGAAGCTAATTTCATTTTAAAGATCAGTGCTTCTAAGTAGAAGGTCTAGGCCTTGAGCAGCCATTTTCCAGGGGAAAATAGATCATCTTGTCAGTCCTACTTCTGCCCCCAGTGTGGGCTCTGTTCCTCTTATAGGAAGAGCCTTAACACTAAGATCCCAATCTTAGAAGTACAACTACAATAACTAAGTGCATGCATAGTAAGCACAACTACAGTGACAGACTCACTCAGCTTCACAGCTACTGGGACAGAGTCTGGACAGATGAGAAGCCTTATCCTTCCCTGCTTCCTCATGCAAGAATCCTATACAGCTGACAGCAAGCACCATACTCCAGGAAAAGGGAATAAACATGGCGTGTACACCAAAGACACACATGCTTAGGCAAGAAGTGAGAGACCACAGGAAATGGGTTTACTAGTGCAAGTTTATCACAAAACAACCATCAAATAATGAGTTTATTTATACTCTAAAATAGTTAAATATTAACATGCACCTTATGGGTCATGGCCAATATAGAACTTGGACAGGAAGTCCTTTGGCCTTGGTGTTTCTGTTTCATGGAAAAACCGCATAATGTGTGTCCGCTGTTTCCACACTTTGATGGTTTCCTGGAGCTCCATTTTCCCCTGTGCACGTGAATGGAAGGTAGTCAGTTCAAGCCATCAAATGAAGAGAACAACACTCAAGTTTAGTACTCTGTTTGGTATGGACTAATGACCCTGGGTAAGTAAATCTTCTAAGGCAAGTTTCTGCATTTGGAGGGTGGTGGGACTCAATGACCCGCAGCTTTTCAAAGAGAAGTAACTAACAGGTAGGTTACCAGGACTGCGCAACACGATTGGTTTAACGTCATGTTTCTATGTAACAGTTCTGTGGTATTTCCTGGTTTGCCATAAGCTACTGCTGATGGACCATGACTGGCCTGGGAAACACAAGGTCCACAGTTTGACCTCATTTATACCATCCCCGAAGCCATCCTGCTTTTCTCTTCTGGTGGTTGGCATACAGGTGAGACAGCGACTTCCAGGGGTGGCATCTTCTCCCCCCCTCTTTTTTTTTATTTTAGTTTTTCGAGACAGGGTTTCTCTGTAGCTTTTGAGCCTGTCCTGGAACTAGCTCTTGTAGACTAGGCTGGCCTCGAACTCACAGAGATCCACCTGCCTCTGCCCTGCTTCTCATTGTTAAAAAGTCACAAAACGCAAGGCCCCGGTGGACTTCTCACAAGCTTATTTAGGGGCTGAGGAAAGAGGCTATCTGATTCCAACCCAGGCTACATAGTGTTTCAAAAGTGGAGGCCTCCATGCCTTTAATTCTGGCACTTGGGAGGGAGAGGCAGACAGATCTCAGGGCCAAGCCAGATCTACACAGTAAGACCCTGGCTTTAAAAATAAATGGTTGAACTAGGAAACAGCAATAGCTGCTAAGTCAAGAGCTGTCTCCCTGGCCCCCCCTTTCTTTTGGGTGGGGAGGGGAATTTGAAACAGGATTTCTCTGTGTAGCCCTGGCTGGCCTCAAACTCACAGAGATCTGCCTACCTCTGCCTCCTGAGTGCAGGGATTAAAGGCGTGCACCCCCACCCAGCAGCAGCTGGTTTTTAATGGAGGTAGTATTCACTTGAAGACTCAGAAGCACAAGACAAGCTGGCGGATCTTTTAAGTTCATCAGAGAGGGTTAGTTACCTTAATGACCAGGAGATCAACTACTCTGGGGTCTGTGACGTGAGCATTCTTCATGAACATTTCTCGGACTTTATCCCGTCCCTGTTTCACAGTGATGTCCAACTGGAATAACTGCACTAAAGAGAAAACATGATGACTGTACAAATTAGACCATTTAAACATGTTTTTAAGATGCCTGTATCAGTGGATATCCAGTGAAGAAGAGGCTCCCACATAGCCCATCCCTCAGCCTGGACACAGGTCATGCTAAATTGCCTGGAGCTCAATGCTCTTGACTTGACCTCCAGAGAAGCTGGGAGTACAGGTGTGCCCATGTGATTTCTGTGCATGTGGGAGTGAGTGAGGATAGAATCTAGGTCCTTTCACATGTCAAGAGTTGACATTTCTATAAGATAATGTAGTGTAACTACATGAATTTGAAAGTACTGCTAAGGGTTTGTGTAGGGATGGAAGGCTTTTCTCTTTGGAAGGAAAGGCTTGAGCTTTACATCTCTAGGTCTTAATTGAGATTGATATTCAGCTGTTATACGTTGCTGCCATCATGGAGTCATGAGCCACTTCACCATTCCCCTCCAATATGATGGACTGAAATGGCAAAATAAACCTTTCTTCCCTTAAAAGGGGTGGTGGTGGCCTGAAGAGGTGGTTCAGTGTATATATGTATGTATGTGTATACAAATATAACTATATATATATAAATAATACATATAAATTTAAAAATAATAAAATATATTTTAAAAGTCACAATATTCAGCAATCCACTACATCAGTGCCTAAAACAGCGGCACAAACTCAGTGACTGAACTTAATGCGCTCCAAGGGTGTCCTGTGGAAAACAGGTTGTAAACTGGACTTACTGAGTGGTAACATGCCTGTAAACCCAGCCTGTAAGTTGGAGGTTAGCCTAGGCCTGTATGGTACCACAGATAGACAGAAAGATATTGTTTCAAAAGAAAGAAAATCAGGTTTTAGCCACTTTCATCCCCTGACATGCGGCCTTTAGCAGCTCCGCTGATGTCATCAAGCATACAAAAGGACTGTAAATTGTTAGATGGAAGGGCAGGCTGATGAGGCATACAAGGCTAAGAGACAAAATATCAAGGGTTTACAGACATTACAGTTAAGGAGATCGGTATATTCGGTTAGTGAGGATACCTTGTGCTTTGGCCATTCTGCAACTAGCTAGCAAGAGTGGCACATGCCTGCAATCCCAGCATTGGGAACTTAGGCTGGTGGATCAAAGGTCTGAGGGAAATCCTAACAAAAATAAAAACAAAAACAAGCCCAGTGTGGTGGCACACAGAGGCAGATGGGTCTCTCTGAGTTTAGGGCCTGTCTAGTCCAGCAAGTTCCAGGCCAATCAAGGGCACAAAGTGAGACCCTGTCCCAGAAAAACAAAACAACAAAAAGTCACAAAAAACAAAAACACCACAAAAAGGTACCCCCCAAAAGATGTCATAATAATCTCTGAAAACCATTAATTAGGGACAGCGGTGTTTAAATCAAGTTTGAGTCTTTCATTACACTCACATTCAGTGATCTTGGAAATGGTAAACAAATTTAGGCTCTCAGAGAGTAGCTGAGGGATTTCGGAAAAAAACAAAAAAATGGGGCTGTAAGATGACCAGGACACTAAACAAATGCACACTGGCACAGACCCTGGAATTTAGAATCTCACTTTTGTGAAGCACCAGACCTAGAGAGACCAAAGTGCTCTCAAATAAACATGAGTCTCAGGTAGGTTTGGCTCTTTCACTCCAGTCTGTTCTAAGAACTGTGGGGAATTCCGCCCCCATTTGTGCCTTCTCCGAGGTTTATGTCAGTGACTATAGTAACCTATTTAATATAGTAATTCCCTGAAGAAGACAGTATTATGCCTGTTTCACAGATGAGTGAACAGTACAAATGGAAAATCTTACCCAAGGTCATACACTGCTAATAAAGGGCAGAACCCGAGGAAAGTGTTGCTGCCTCTCAGTAGCTCTGAGGTGTGCCATGGTGCTGTCCGTCACTCACTAGAAAATGCCTTCCCCCTCAGATCAGCTGTGGTGGTCCATGTTAAATACACGTCTACTCAACAAAAGATGTCCCTGACATCTGAACTCTCGCCCCTTTTAAAATTCAGCACACTGACAGCACTGAGGGCGACACCAAGATAACACTCCGCATTCAGGACCAACAGCGGGTGAGCAGATTCGATTCGCCGTTATCTCAGGAAAAAGAGGTGTTCTGTAGCAGTAGGGATGAGATTTCAAAATACCAGAGCAAGCTGAGTTAGCAAAGCTAGGGAGACCTGAGAAGCCATTAAACCTGGAGGCTTTCAAGACTCCAGGAAGCTACTGAATGGCCTTGGCCAAGACGTTTCCCTCCTATGGTCCAGTTTGTTTTCCAGAATGGGGAATGGCTAACTGCAAGTCCTTCGCCAGTTTGGTTACAAAATCCAATGGGCATCTGGAACATGTCTGGAACTGTAAGCTGACCCTGGGATCCAGAAATTCCCGGGGCTAGCTCTGGACCACGGCCCCGTCAATTTGTCTCTCGGTGTCCTCAGCTACAATCAAGAGTCACCCACAGTCCCTGCTCTCCCCTCCCAGGGGCTTGGTAAGAAATACAGGGACAAAAGCCACCAAAGCGGCTAGGTCGCTCGGAAGCTCTGTCCCGGTGTGGGGCACGTCTGCCTCGCATGACCCTCTTCCCCCGAAATCCAGGAGTCGTTTCTGCCCTAGTCGGTGACCTCAGCTCGGCCGTGAGACCTTGGGCAGATGTCTCAGGGCCCTGGACGCACCCCTGCCTCTCACCAGTGTTCGGCACCTCCCGATACCAAGCGCGGTAGAGCTCGCGCACTCTCCGCTTGGCCTCGTTCAGGTCGCGACTGAAAATTGGCTTCACCGAGGTGCTGGCCGCAGCACCAGCCTGCCGCAAACCGCTGGCCGCCATCTTGCCGAGGAAGCTCCGCCCCCTGGGCTCGCGCACGCGCTGTGCTAGGTGAGGCGTCGCCGCCCCTTCTGCGGTGCGAGAGGGAGGTGGATTGGCTGGAAGCCTCCCCGGAAGCCGGGCTTTGAGAAGGGAACGGGGAGCGGCGCTTGGGGCGGTCGATGTGGCGCCGAGGGTCTCCCGGAGCCAGCAGGGGGCGCAGCGTCCAGGTTTCCGTCAGCGGTCTGAAGCGCGACGCCCAGGCTCGCCCACAAGTTTGTTCCATCAGCCCTGCGGGTAGCAGGTTCTGAGGAGACGGCCTCTGAGGTAGATGATGGTGCCACCGTGGCGGTCTTTCCGCAGTGACGGTATATACTGCTGAACGTATTGTGTGTGTCCGAAAAACCGTTTCTTCCAGACATGGTGTAGATGACAGAGCGCCATCTGGCTTGAATTTTTTTGACGTTTTTCTGGGAGGCAGATAATAGTAATAACTCCATTTCTTCCTTCCTTCCTTTCTTTCTTTCTTTCTTTCTTTCTTTCTTTCTTTCTTTCTTTCTTTCTTTCTTCCTATCTATCTATCTATCTATCTATCTATCTATCTATCTATCTATCTA